GAATAATGTGATGTAGGTTTAAGCGACCCTCCCACCGCAGCCTCCTGAGTAGCTGGGGCCACAGGCACTCACCACCACACCAGCCTATTTGTTTAAATTATTCTTTTTAGAAATGGGGTTTCACCATGTTGCTCAGACTGGTCTCGAACTCCTGGCTTTAAGTGATCCTCCTGCCTTGGCCTCCCAAAGTGCTGATATTACAGGTGTGCGCCACCACACCCAGCCTGGTACCTCTATTTTTAAAGGTTAACTCCACACCTAAAGATGACTATGAGCTAGAAGTAAGAAAAAAAATAGATCCTAGGTCTTCATTAAATACAACCCACTTGAGGACTTCAGAGCAATTTCTTTCCTCTAGCCCTTGGTGTTTTTCCACTGTCAAACTGTGGCTAATGTGAGCTAACCTTCTGGTGGTTTGGAGGATAAAGTGAGAGAATGTATTGTGAAAGCACTTTGGAAAAGCATATGTGTTATATCCATGTAAGAGATCAGATTATTAAAACAGCTTTGTGGGCTACTTAGTTTTCATTTCTTTCCTTCAAAGCCAGACTAATCCCAAGAACCTAAGCCAATGGCAACCCATTTATGATTATAGTCAAATCATGACTTTGATTCCTAGAGCAGCTCACCCTGACTGGCTTCAGGTTCTTCTCTCAGCTTCACTGAGTAGTTTTACCCTCAGCTTGCCAGAAAAAAAAAGGCAGGGCATCTAGTTAAATTTGAATTTAAGACAAACAAGCAATATTTTTAGTATATATATGTTCCAAATCACGCATGAGACACACTTAAAACTGTATCCCTCATTTATCTTCAATTCAAATTGAAATGTGTTCTGTACTGTTATTTGCTGGGTCTGGCAAGATGCTATTTTATCCTCATACTGACCTCTCATCTCCTTCGGAACCCAATAAATTTTAATATGGTAATGCTTTTAGTTACCCTTAAAGCAGGAAGGGAGACATCAGCTGCCAATTTCATTCATCTTGAAAACATAGAGTATCTTTTTATTTATAGGTTTATTTCATAAGTAAATTTCAACATTTTTCTCATAACAAGACTATAAAAACAACAAAAAGCTCAGAGATTAGCAAGCCCATCTCGCCAGCCCCATTCTGATCTTTGTATCTGTGTTTTAGCTCAGCCTACCCAAATAACAAACACTAATCTCAAAACAAAAACAGAACAAAGAAAAACCCTCCCCTGCCCCCAGCACAGACTGTAATCCTGGCCTCCAATTATATCAGTGACATGCAAAGGCTAAAGCAGTGGTTCTTCAATCCCAGATGCACATTGGAAGCAAGGGAACACTAGAAAATTCAAAAGTGGCCAGGCACAGCGGCTCCCGCCTGTAATCCCAGCACTTTGGGAGGCCGAGGCGGGCAGATCACGAGGTCAGGAGTTCGAGACCAGCCCGGCCAACATAGTGAAACCCCGTCTCTACCAGAAATACAAAAATCACTTGAATCAAGTGATTCAAGGAGAATCACTTGAATCAAGTGATTCAAGGAGAATCACTTGAACCTGGGAGGCAGAAGTTGCAGTGAGCTGAGATCACACCATTGCACTCTAGCCTGGGCAACAGTGCAAGACTTCATCTCAAAAATAAATTAAAAATAAAAAAAAAATTCAAAAGCTCAAGTCATACCCCAGGTAAATTATGGCACAAACCCTTGAGGTGGTACTCAGACATCAGTATTTTTTAGCACTCTCATGTGATTTTAGTGTGCATCCAAGATTAAAAACCACTGCTCAAGCCCTTACTTCTCATTTTTATACCCAGCCCAAGCCCCTTACAAAGCTTTAGGAAAATACAGGAATCAGATGGTTGGAGAAGGGGAGCAAAACAGCAGAAAGATATGAAAATACTGTTGCACCCTCTCGGTCCTCAAGTCCTGAATCTTGATTTTGTCTTTCTTCTATTTTCCTCTGGCCATAACCACCATTGCCATGGAGCAAAAGTGTCATCCAAAGCTTGTCACTCAACTTCCTCAATATTAGCAAATAGATTTAAAAGGTGGGATAAAATATGAATAACAACTAAAGCTTTTTAAATTTGTAACCTGTTTAATTCTCACAGCCACCTCTGTAAGGTAGTAATTATCACACTCACAGTACAAACAAGGTAACAGAGGATCATAAAAGTTAAGTGACTTGACCTAGGTCACCCTATGTGTAAATGGTCCAGTAAGAGTCAAGATCAGGCTCTTTCCATAACACAACAATATGCCCCCACATACAGTTCCCTAGGGCCTGTGCAGACCAATTCCAGGGAGCATCATTCATTGTATTATGATATGAATAGCGGCTATACAGCAGAACCACAGACAATGTGCACAACCTAGTACAGCAGCCCCAAATGGCTTCCCTCAGATTATCAGAGGCTGTTGATAAACGGACCAAGAATCAGAGTTTTGTCAATGGGAATCTGATTTTGAGAAAATGTTTCCTCAATCAGGTATTAAATTCTCTTATGTTTTTTGTCCCACCAGTAGGCAGGCACAAATGAGAGAGAGAGAACAAGCATCAAAAAGAGCATCTTCTCAAGGCCACCTCAAGCTCAGCACTTCCTAAACTCTCCCTGCCCCAGAACTGTTCTTCCCCACTACAGCTCGTAACATTTCCTTCCAGCATTTTTCATGTGGTTATTCTAGCCAAAAGACTGGAACTTATTTTATGCCCACACCCTCTCCCGCATTCCCTCACACACAGTAAGTTAAGATGTCCTGACATTTTAACATCTTAAATAATTCTCATCTCTCTCCCTAAATGTCCATCCCTAACCCCATATTACAGTAAGGCCCCAGCTTCTCTTCCTTGGACAAAGGTAACAACCTCCCAACTTATCTTCTGAAGGTCAGTCTTTGCCCCTCAACTCCATCCTCCTCATTACAGGGTGATGTCTCTAATGTCACATCCCTGCTTCAGAGGAGAACCTTCAGAAGTTCTCCATTATTTACAAGACTAAGGCTAAATGTGTGAGCATGACAGATAAGGCTGTTCATGAGCCAGCTGCCCATTTCTCCAGTCTCACCCACCATTTCTACCTTGATGCAATGGTTAATTTTAGGTGTCAACTTGACTGGATTGAAGGATGGCCTGGATGGTTGCTGAAGCATTGTTTCGGGCTGTGTCTGTGATGCTGTTTCCAGAAGAGACTGGCCTATGAGTCAGTGGACTAAGGGAGGAAGACCTGCCCTCAGTGTGAGCAGGCACCATCCAATCTGGGGACCCAGTTGGGACAAACAGAAGGAAGAGGATGGATTTTCTCTCTCTTCTCGCTCTCCCTTCCCAAACAATATGACTTTTTTTTCCTCCTGACTTTGAATATCATACTCCAGATTCTTTAGCTTTTAGACTCTGGGACCTACACCAATGGCTTAACTAGGGCTCTCAGGCCTTCAGCCTCAAACTGGAAGCTGCACCATCGACTTCCCTAGTTCTGAGGCTTCAGGACATGAACTGGGCCACACTTCTGCCTTCTCTGGTTCTCCAGCTTGCAGAGGGCCTATCATGGGACTTCTCTGCCTCCTGTGATTTTGTGAGTCAATTCCCCTAGTAAATACCCTCTCATATATCCTATTGGGTTCTGTCTTTCTGGGGAACTCTCACTTGAACACTTGCTTATTATTCTTTGATAAAATCAAACTGATTGTAGTTCCTACTTCATACCATGTGATTCCACATCAATATGTTTTTATCCATGGTGAACCTCTGACCTGAGGTATCCTCTCCTCCCACCATGCCTTCTTTATCAAATAACATGTGCGCAGTCATCAAGGCTTCCTCATACCTACTGTGGGGTTAGAGCCTCAACTATTGAGCTCCCAGAGCAACTTTTATCATGGCTCTTACTACATTCAATTAAAAAATGCCATTTTTGCCTGTCCATGTGACTGACTATCTCAGAGATCACAAACTAATGACCTATGGGCTAAAAGAAATCCCAGGTGGTTTTTGTTTGCTTGCAGTATATCTTTTAAAATTCTGTATTAAATGTCAGTATTTAATAAATGATGTTCAACTTCTATCCAAGATACAGTAACAAGGATCAGATTTACCCTCCTTCCTGAAACAAACAAACCAAAGTAAACAAAAGAACAACAAAAAAAAGACAAAACATATGTAACAAAAATTTTCAAGAAACTGCACATCAGGTAATGAAGGGCAATGATCCCTGAAAGATGATAAATTAAATGAGATGAGCCCTGCCATTGCCCCCAATATATTGCCTTGAGAATGTTTCCAAGCCAGAGAATAGTAGGGAGAATAACTTACAAGGAGCCTAAAGCAGTCCCTAAATTGAGAAAATAGAGCTGAAAGACTAAGGTAGTTAGAATTCACAGGATAAACTATCAGAAAGGAGAGAGATGCACATGGAAAGAACCATGGATATCTGCAGAGTCCCATTTGGGTTTTCAGCAGAATCCTAGTCAGAACATGAGGCCAGGGAAAGAACCATCCAAAAGGACCAGGAAAAAAGTTTTTGGCATTCACATGAAGCTAAGAATATTGGCTATTTTCAATAGCTAGACTACAGAATCTCATAATTCACAGAGCATTGGGTACAGCACCCAAAAGGGTCTTGCTTCAATAGTATGAAATAACTAGCCCTTGATAGGGTTAGGTTTTTTGTCCCCACCCAAATCTCATCTTGAGTTGTAATCCCTACGCGTTGAAGGAGAAAAGTGATTGAATTATGGGGGCAGTCTCCCCCATGCTGTTCTCATGATAGTGAGTGAATTCTCACAAGATCTGATGGTTTTATAAATGATAGTTTTTCCTGTCCTCATACATGCTGTCTCACCTGCCACCATATAAAACATGCCTTTTCCCATTCTGCCATGATGGTAAGTTTCCTGAGGCCTCACCAGCCATGCAGAACTGTAAGTCAATTAAACCTCCTTTGTTTATAAATTACCCAGTCACCAGCAGTGTCTGTATAGCAGTATGAGATCAGACTAATACACCCCCAAACCAAACACTGTTCTTGTACCACTTACCAAATCTTAAACAGCAAGACACCAAATGAATCAAAATATTTCCAAATATCTCAGCTGTGTGCCTGAACAAAAATTAAAAATATTTATAAAAATACAAAAATATCTAGCATCAAACAAATAAAATTCACAATGTCTAGAACCCAGTCAAAAATTATCAGACGTGCAAATAAACCAAAAAAAAAATGCCTTATAAAGAAAAAATTCAATCCATAAGAACCAACCCAGAACTAACAGAGAGGTTAGAATTAGAATGCAAGGTCATTAAAACAAATGTAAAATATAATAGTATTAACAAGTTAAGTAGAAATATGGAAGGTAAATAAAGACACAGGTGCATTGCAGATTGTAAAATAATGTTGTATGGGAATAATGGCAGATGAGACACCGCAGAAGAAAAGAGAAAAGAACGTGAAGACATAGCAATAGAAACTATACAAAAAGGAACACAGAGAGAAAAACAGGAAAGAGTATCAGTTGAACAAATTTAGTTGGACTAACATACATATTATGGAAGTCTCCTAAGAAGGGGAGGGAGAAAAAATATCTTTAAAAATATTTTGCTATGGGTGAGTTAGGTGAAAAAAAAAGAAAGAAAGAAAAAATATTCTACCAACAAGACTGTTTTCGTGTTATTTTGAGCAAAAAAATAAATTAGGTATCATTATATTATAACCCATATTATAAAATAAATACCCATGAGTCTATACTAATATTAATAAGTAATTGCATACAAAAATGAATGGGAGAGATGTGATTTAAATATAGACACAAATAGATTAAAATTAAAAGTGTTATACCATGCAAACACTAATTTTAAAAAGATTATTACTACATCAATATCAGAAAAAGTAGATTTCAAATCAAAAATTATTACCAGAGATAAAGAAGGTAATTTCACAATAATAAAGTGGTCAATTCATCAAGAGGTTGTAATAATCCTAAATGTTTATGCTCTTCCTAACATTGCTGAAAATACATGAAGCAAAAACTAATAGAATGTCAAGGAAACATGAGCAAATACACAATTATCATTGCAGATTTCAATATCCCTCTTTCAATAACTGATAGAACAAGTAGACAAAAAATCAGAAAGTACATAGAAAACTTGGATAACGTTATCAATAAAGCTACAGTAATTAGAACAGTATAGCATTGGCATAAAGGCAAACATACAGACCAATGAAATATTATAGAACAGAGTCCAGAAATAAATCCTCAAATATGGTCAGTTGATTTTTGTTAGGGACAAATTGCCCCAAGAAAGCTTCTTGGTGCTGCTCACCCTTCCCCCAAGCCTCTTTACATTTCTAAGCCCTTGTCTAGGTGCCATAGTGAAGCCAGCAGACTTCACTTATCAGACCTTGCTGCGATAAGCAAATCCCAATTACAAAACATCTGGACTGCACAGGGGGAGGTCATGGGAAGCATAAACAAACTTTACCTACACCCTCCTGTAATAAACATCACAAGGTGATATGTGGCCAAATTAACCAGCAAACAACCCCGGGATGTGGCCATACCAAAGAACTCCCTCAAACTCCCCTGCCCAGCCATATCAAAGAACTCCCTCAAACTCCCCTGCCCAATATAAACCCCTCATTCTATAAGCTTAGTGCTGCCTCCTCTGTCTGCGGTGGAACAGCCAGCAGGTTAATAAACTTCCTCACCTGACCTTGGGTCTCCCTCTCATCCTTTCTCTTGGCTAACCTTACAATTTTTGGTAAGGATAACATGACTATTCAGTGAGGAAAAGACAATCTTTTCAACGAATGGTGCTGGAAAACAGGATATTGATATGCAAAAGAATAAAATTGAGCTCTTACCTTATACTGTATAAAAATTAACTCAGAATGAATCAAAGATTTAAACATAAGAGGTAAAACTATAAAACTCTTAAAACACTGGAGAAAATCTTTATGACATTGGATTTGGCAACAAGTCCAGAAATATTACACCAAAAGCACAGGCAACAACAGTAATTCAAGCTTCATATATGTAAATGTTTAAATTACTATATCATATTTCTATATTAAATTTTTTACTAATATATAATATCCTTCTTTGCCCTCTGAACTTTTTTGAAGTTAGGCCTATTTTGTCTAACATTAGTGTAGCTGCTTCAGCTCTCTTTTAGTTACTATGTGCATGAAATATCTTTTTCTATCATTTCATTTTCAACCTACTCGTGTATTTGGAGGTAAAGTAAGTCTCTTGTAGTCAACATATAATTAGATCATCTCGTTGAAGAAGGGGGGCCATTGTACCTGTCTTTGTCTTTGTATTAGGGGGTTTAATCTATTTGCATTTTTAAATAATTACTGTTAAGGAGAAACTTCTGCCATTTTGCTATATGTTTACTATTTGCCATATAGCTTTTTGTTCTTCATTTATTATTGTCTTCTCTTGTGATTACTTAATTTTTTGTAGTGAACTGTTTTGGTTTTCAGTATTTTCTTTGTGGTTACCATGGGGCTCACCTTTAACATCCTAAAGTTATAACAATCTAATTGGACTTTAGACGAATTTAACTTCAATAACATACAAAATTCTGTGCCTAGAGCTCTTTCCATATCCTCCACTAGCTCTTAGAGCATTTTTAAAATAGCTATTTTAAAGTCTTTGTCTAGTAAGTCTGATGTCTGGGCTTCCTCAGGTACATTTTTGTCAACTTACATTTTTCCCTTGAGTGGACCATACTTTCCTGTTTCTTTGTGATTTCTTTTTTGGTGTAAACTGCAAGTTTGAATCTTATAATGTAATAACTATGGAAATTAGATTCTCCTCCTTCAGATTTTGCTTTTCTTCTGATTCTTGTATCATGGCTCTATGCCTGGGTCAGCTTAAAGTAAAAGCTTAAGTTTTCATTAGGTTTTTACTGCATCTGTGTCTTTTTCTGGGCATAAGAAGTTACTTTCTAATGCTTTCTGTATGCAGAGCTGCCTCTGATTGTCCAAAGAACAGGCTCAGACCTTTCAATATCCTGGAAAACACTTCAGCCCATAGAGGTTAGAACAATGGCATCCAGCCTCCATGCCCATACCTCAACCATTAAAGCAACAATTCAAAACCACAAAACAAACCCTCAATATTTGGGGAACAAAGTCCTTATTACCTCCTGTGGATAACACAAGCAGCACTAAAACCACAAGTTGCCATTCCTCAGCAGCTGCTACAGGGTTGGGAATGGAAAGAGAATAGGTAGCTGCCACTGTACTGTTGGTTAAAAGTGACCAACATTGCTGCAATTTACCAGCCAAGGTCTTCACCCAGAAGTTGCAAACATTCAAATAAATTCTAGAGGTCCAAAAACACTTACCTCTTACAGTTTCTGCTGCATTATTGTTGTCCAGGTGGAGAGACAGATTCCTGGCACATCCTACTCCACCACCTTCCCTGATACCATCCTTAAAGGTAAATTTACATCACTAAATACCTATATTAGAAAAAAAGCCTCAAATATCCTTCATGACCTTTAGTGTAAAATTATAACAAAAAAATTTTGGCAAGCATGTTCAATAATATATTAAAAAGACAATACATCATAATCCATCAGTGTTTTAACATTCAAGAATCAATCTATTTAATTCACCATATTTATAAACCAAAAACTAAAAATCATATGATGATCTCCATTGGAACAGAAAAAAAATTGTTAAAATTCAACATCAATTCCTGAAATAAATTCTTGAAACACTAGGATTAGAAGAAACTTGATATAATATACCTATTTTTAAAAGACCATAGCTCACATCATTGAATATTTTACACCTAAAGATCAAGAACAAGGCAAAGACTTCTACTCTCACTACTTCTATTCGACATTCTATAAACAGTTTCATCTAGTTTAATCAGGAAAAAAAACAACAACAAACAAAAGGCTCCAGATTGGAAAGAACAAAAACAAAACTGTCTTTATTTGCAATCACATAATCATCTATGTAGAAAATCTGATGATATCTAAAAGAAACTGACTACAACTAATATATGACTGTAGTAAAGCTTCAGGATACAAGATCAACATAGAAAAATTAATTCTGTTTCTACAAAACAGTAAGGAATAATTAGAAATAGAAAAAAATGAAATACCTTTTACAATAGCATTAAAAGTATTAAAATACTTGGGTAATAGCTGACAAAGATACGCAAGGTCTGTACACTAAAAAGTACAGAACACATTCCCATTGTGATTGAGGATAGTGAAAAGAAAAATAACTACAGAACATTGATGAGAAAGAAAGAAGTTCTAAATCAATGGAGAGTTATACCGTGTCTGTGGATCAGAAGGCCCAATATTGTTAATCTGTGAATTATTCCTAAATTTATCTATACATTCAATGAAATGCCAATCAAAATTTCAAAATTCTAGTAGGTTTTTGTTGAAATTGATAAACTTACTCAAAAATTCCTACAGAAATGCAAAAGATCTAAAATAGACAGGACAATAGCCAAAACAATAGCCTGGAGTTTTCTTGAGGTTTTTAATCACAAATTTCTTTGTTAGATGTAGAGCTATTTGGGTTAACTATTTCTTTTTGGGTAAGCACTGCTAGTTTGTGTCTTTCAAGAAATATGTCCATTTCATCGAAGTGGTCAAATTTAGTATCTGTAGAATCAACTCTTTCATACCTGATACTGGTAGTTTTATGTCTACTCCATTTTTTCCTAGTGTAGTATGTGTATAAAGATAGACAAATAGATCAGTAAGACAGAATAAAGAGTCCAGAAATAGATCCACAGATATGTGTACAATTAACTTTTGACAAAAGTACAAAGGCAAGTCAAGAAAGTCAGGAAAGCCCAGCCTTTTCAATAAATGGTGCTGGAATCATTATATATTCATAAGCAAAAAAGAACAAGAACTTCAATATGTATTTCAAAACATACACACAAGTAAATTCAAGATGGATCATAGATTTAAAATGTAAAACCTAAAGCTTCTAGGTTTTGTAAACCAAAATGTAAAACAAAACTTCTAGACAAAACCATAGAAGAATATCTTTGTGGCACAGAGTTAGGCAATGATTTCTTATCTAGAACAAAAAGAAGAATATACACAAAAGAAA